AATAATAATGATAACAATGATATTAAAAATAATAATGATAGTGATAATGATAACAAAACACATCAAGAACGGCATGAGCAGCAAGAATGACACGCTTTTGTCTGTAACGCTACCAGCCGGCAATTCCAGGATAGAAGCCTATCATTTACTTAAAGTCAAGCAGCACCTGCTGAATTCTAAGAATGTGGTTGGATCAGTCGAAGCTTTATCTCTGTATCAGCTTGTGTCATGAACGTGCCGAAGACGCCCTACATTTATTTTTTCCCCCTTCAACCCAAAAACAAAACCCAGATAGAAAAGAAGACATCCCCACACCCATGCAAAAAGACGCCCAATATCCAGTAACCAAACCCAAAGCAAATCCGACTTCGCGTCGTGTGCAACTCAGGAATAAAAATACACTACTCGAGAATTGTACGACAATCTTATAAACCCCGCGACATTTATAGTTAGAAACCCCAGCCTTCGGAAGCAAACCCTGAAGATCCCTATAAATCCGATCTTCGGCCAAATTTATCTCGCGTCCCATGTTTAAATGCCTATCCGGCATACGGCCGCTGTGAGCTAGTGGGAAGCCTGCGCAACATCCATCTGGCCAGGATTTTCTAGGCAAATATTGGCGACGTCTCGAAGACATTGGCCAAATGTTTTTGACTTTCCCGCGGTCAAATTAAATTGGCTTTGGGAGTAAACAAAGGGTTGGCTAGCGGGCAAACGTGAAGGCGTGGCCGACTCGACGGTCGGGCATTGTTGTTTCCCTGTGCTCACAAATGTTTGCCTTTTCGTTTTCTCGCCAGTTTCCGGTAGTTGGGCGGTTCTTCCCTGTTTTCTATTTATATTTCTGGTTTTAGGGTAGTTTTTGTAGTTTTTTCTTTCTTCGTCTGTTAGTTTGTATGTCTGCTGGGTAAATTCTTACTTCACGTATTAGGGCTCTCTGTCGGAAAATACTCGCCTAAAAACACAAAAACAACCCAAACAACAACAACAACAACAGCAAACAAAAACAACAACACACAAATAGACTCTCCCTCTCCCTGTCTCTCTCTCTTTCTCTCTCTCTCTCTCTCTCTCTCTCTCTCTCTCTCTCTCTCTTTCCTTCTCTTTCCCCCCCTCTCTCTTTTTCTCTCTCACACACACT